GTCTGTCTGTCTGTCTGGCGCGCGCACACACCCTATAGTAAAAACCTCTCAAAAAAAAAAACAGAAAAAAAAAAAGAATTTAACGTGTATTATACACACCCACACATATAATACATATGTTATATATGATTATTCAGCTTACATGTTTACATGTATGTATGTGTGTTGGCCCTACTTTACCAACAGGGAAATTGAAGCTCAAATGTCTGAAAAAAGCTCCTAAGAGGAGGAGCTAGGATTCTTATCTAGATCTTTGTCCCTAACTCATGCTTTTTCACACTGCTCATTCTTTGGAAAGATTTCAGGGGTTCCTATTATTAACAGTACATTATGTGGGGCTGGCCAGTAGCATGGTAGCTAAGGGCGCCGCACTCCCACATGGCCTACTCTGGTTCGAGTCCTGGACCTGGCAGCTTGCTTTCTCTCTCTCTCTCTCTCTCTCTCTGTGTGTGTGTGTGTGTGTGTGTGTGTGTGTGTCTCTCTGTCTCTTTCTTTCTCTCTCTGGCCAAATTAAAATAAGTAAATAAAGGTAAAATAATCCTTAAAATAAAGTGCCTTACTTTACAAGGGACCCACAGGGTGCCTGAAATGATGCCCACCAAGGCCTCTCGAGCTCTGAAGTCATGTTGTTTAGCCAATCCTAGTAGATTTCCTAGCACATGTCCCCTTTCAGTGCTTGGTCACTTTAGAACACATGAGCAGTTACAGCCCCGTGGTGACACTGCACTGTGTGGGGACAAGCAGCCCTTTCTGTGGTGTGGGGAAGGGTACCAAGACTTCTTAAAGAAAGGGCTGAGCTCATAAGGGAGTGAGAAAATGAGCGTGTGTGACTGAGGAGAGGCGGTCTGTCTGAAGCTCTGTTTTGGTGTCCAGGTCAGCTTGGTGCTCGCTTTCCCTGCACTGCAGTGTCAGGACTTTTCGGGCAGCAGCCTCGGCACTGGAGACCTTCACATCCTGCACCTGGTTACGGTGGCACACGTCGTGCAGATCTTGCTCACCTCGTGTCCAGGTACCTACCCCTCCTGTCAGCTCTGAACAAGGGGGTATTGTTGAGCTTTCCCAGTTAGAAGAGTATTAGCAGAAAAGGTATTTGGGTGAGGATAATACATGAATTATAGTTGGGCCATTTGCCTTTTCTGTTCATCTTCATGTGAAAAGTTTTGAGACAAATTTTTTTCCTCTTAAAATCCCCCCTTGGACCAGCAGTTAGCATAATGGCTATGTCGCTGGACTCCCACGTAGTCGACCGCGGTTTGCGTCCCAGACCCGGTGGCTTAAAACTCACGCCGGGCGTGTGTGCGTGCATGCCCAAGATCCCAAGAGGAGAATGGAGAAGGGATTGTGGCGTGGCCATCCCCCCAGGGGGTGATTTCTCGCTTTCTGTCTCTCTGTCTCCCTCTGTCTGTCTGGCAAGCGCACGCACCCTATAGCAAAAACCTCTCCAAAAAAAGAAAAAAAAAATCCCCTAACAATGTATTTTTACTTTTTATATTTATAGTTTCAGTAATAGTTGAATAGCATAGTAGCTAAGCCCCTTAGAATTCTGTTTTAGATAAATGCCATTTTATTTCAACCTGCATGTTTGTTAATACTCCATGAGTTCATTGCTAAATTATTTTGCATTCAAACTTCCTGTTTTTCAAACATTTTAAAATAACATAAGGGCCGGCCCTGTAGCACGTCAGTTAAGTGGTGTGCAGAGGAAGCCAGACCCACACAGCTGACCAGAACGGTAACATTGGCCCTAGTGGGTTCATACTGGACTCCCCTGCACATGCCCAGGGTCCTGACAGGATGGTGAATTGGAAGAAAAGGGATTGCAGCATGACCAGGCCCCACCCTACTGGGGGTCTTGTGTACTCGCTTGCACTCTCTCATATGCATACATGTCCCTTAGCATTAAAAAATAATAATAATAAAAGATAATGTGTTTATATATGTAGCTGTTTATGCCTAGCATACTAGCTAGCTCCTTAGTCTTGACAAAGACAATAGTATGCTAACACTTGAAGGGTTAAAATTCTGTGTTTTGTGGGAATATTATTTGTGTGTGTGTGACTATGTCCAAGCACTTAAATGATGTCATCAGTCTTTTTGATGACACTTGGGAGGAAAGTACAGAGTACTAGCTTTTCCTTATCTTGCAGAAGAGAATGTCATGGATCAGGAAAATCCCACTGGCGAAGAAGAATTAGCGGTTCTTGCTTTGTATAAACTGCTTCGCCAGTACACAGGAAGGTAAGATCACAATCTCCACGGTCAGCGTTTCCCAGTTATTGGTGTGTGGGAGCATGAGAAAGGAATTCATTTGTTTATTAGGGGAGAGTGCCGTCTAACTCATATGTTTAAGAGAGAAAATAAGGGGCTAGCCTGTAGCAAGGTAGATCAAGTGACGACAGTCCACATGGCTGACTGCACAGGCAAGTCCTGGACCCAGCAGCTTGGGAAACATGCTGGAAGCAGGCGCATGTGTGCCCAAAGTCCCAAGAGGAACATGGCGAAGAAGGAACTGTGGCGTGGCTATCTCCATGGGGGTTCTTTTTTTTACTTTATTTCTCTCTTTCTCCGGCCAGTACATATACCCTACAGCAAAAGTTTTAAAATTATAAAAAAAAAAAAAAGATGATGGTGATATGAGTCCTGGTGATCTCCAGGACTTCTCTGAGCGGTTCGTACACTATTATAGCATAACCCATGGCCTCAGGAGCACAGTAATAATGAGCAGCTTCCCCCGGCTGCTTGACCGTGGAACTGCTCGTTTGCTCACGGCCTAGCACATCCTAGGGGTTAAAGCTGCTGTTCTCAAATACGTATTGTCAATTGGGACTTAAACATACAGGGCCAGGGGCCAGCAGGCGGTGTGGAGATAAGGCTGCTGGATCCCACATGGCCGTGTGATTCCAGTCCCGGACCTGATGGCTTGAAAATCATGCCAGGTCCATGTGCATTTATGCCCAAAGTCACTGGAGGAGACAGGATTGTGGCATGGCCATCCTCCGAGGCCGGGGGGTGGGGGGATGATCTCTCATTTTCCCAGTCTGTCTCTCTGGGCAGCTTACATACCATATGGCAAAAATCCTCAAACAAAAAGGTCATTCTTTGAATTATCTCATTTCTGAGAGTCAACACTAACAAAATAATCCAACATGTCAAAAACCCTAATAGGCATATAAAAATGTCCAGTCTGAGAGCTGGCCTCATGGTCTAGTGGTTAAGGGAGCTGGATCCCACGTGGCCAACTGTATGGTTCAAATCATGACTCGGCTGCTTGAAAAAAATGCACTGGGCATATATGCGTGTGTGCCCAGAATCCCGACAGGATGGAGAAATGAAGGAGAAGGGATTGCGGCATGACCATGCCCCATTGGAAGGTGCTTTCTTCCTCTCCCTCTCTGTTTCTCTATCTCTGGTGAGCGTATGTGCCTTCTGGCAAAATTTAAAAAGAATCAAAAGTGAGACAGCAGGTGGCATAATGGTTATGTTGCAGGACTCCCACATGGACAAATGTAGTTCGAGTCCTAGACCTGGCTGCTTGAAACTCACACCAGGCATGTGTGCTTGCATGCCCAAAATCCCAAGAGGAGAATGGAGAGGGGATTGCAGCACGCCCATCACCCCTGGGGGGTGATTTCTCTCTCTCCTTTTTTTTTGTTTTAATTTTGTTTGTTATCTATATTTTTAAAAGACTTATTTATTTTAATTGTATTTATTATTATTTAACTTAGAGAGAGAAAGGAGGCTGCCAAGTCCAGGACTAAACTGAAGTTAGCCATGTGAGAATCCAGCAGTCTTAACTACCACACTCCCTGCCAGCCCTGATTTCTCTCTTTCTGTCTTTCTCAGTCTCTCTGGTGAATGCACACATCCTAGAGCAAAAACCTCAAAAATAAAATTAAAAAGTAACTGCTTAAAGGAGAATAATTTGATATATTCCAAAATATTGTGAATCTGTTAGTAATTATGGCTATTGTTCTAGGAAATGTGTTATTTGAGTTTCTTATACTCCAGTTGTAACTGTGTAAGACTGTATTAGTGTGAAGGTAGTTGGCCAGAATAATATGTGCTGGTATAAGGGGCCACAGTAGTGGGTGACCCTTCATTTTCTGCTTTTCCTCTTTATGTAGTTGTATTGCTTTTATAAGCTCTAATGTTAGAGGCTGTATTCCTGCTTGTACCTGAGTCCTCTGATAGTCACAGCCCCTGCTAGCCTGCTCACCCACTCCTTTTAAACTTGAGTCCCAATGGCAGTCTTGTCTGTTATCCTGAACTGTAATGTAATGTCCTTTTCCTCTTATGTTTCCCAATAATCTTTCTCTCTTTCTCAGTGCCTTGAAGGAAGTGCCCTCTGGCTGGCATCTGTGGAGAAGTGTCAGAGCTGGAATCATGCCTTTCCTGAAGTGTTCTGCTTTATTTTTCCACTACTTAAATGGAGTTCCTTCCCCACCTGACATTCAAGGTCATTGCCGATACCTTTCAAGATGCTTGAAACATTTGTAGTTTTTTATTCCCCCAGTTGAGAATTAAGGTGACTCACAAAAATCAAACCTGATTTAAAGTTCAGAGCATAGTGCCAGCCAGTGGTATGGTCTTTTAAAGTGGCTGGATGCCATGTGGCCTACTGCGCATTTGAGTCCCAGACCTAGTGGCTTCAAAACCACTCCGGGCACGTGTGCGTGCATGCCCAAAATCCTGAGAGGAGAGTGGAGGAGAAAGAGTTACCATGTGGAGTGCTCTCTCACTTGTCCTCTCTCTCATTCTGTCTCTTTCCAACAAGTACACATGACCTAAAGCAAATTAAAAAACAGTTCAGAGCATAGCTAATGACTGGTAGTGTACACGTTTATAGGATAGTATGCATATTTATATATGTCTCCTTTTATTTGGATCTCAATAATTGTACTATTAAAATTCTGTGTGTTTTGGAGGCCAGCAGGTGGTGTAGTGGTTAAGGTGTTGGACTCCCACATGGCCAACCATGATTTGAGTCCTGGATCCAGTGACTTGAAACTTAACACTGGGTTCATGTGCGTGCATGCCCAAAATCCCAAGAGGAGATTGGAGAAGGGATTGTAGTGTGGCCATTCCCTTTGGGGGGTGATTTGTCACTTTCCATCTCCCTGTCTCCAGTGAGCACATGCATCCTGTGACAAAAACATAAAAAGAGGGGGGAAAATTTCTGTGTGTTTTTACCTTTGCAAAAAGCAAGTCTCCCATAAAGATTCTTAATTTTGCTTTCAGGTGTTAAAATGTTCAATTATATATTATCTATGAGTGACATTAAAATTTAGCATACTTAAAATTATATAGAAATCCAATCTTAACATTGGAATTAAAGTGCTATTTCTCAACTGTTTGCCATGTTGTTTTGATGCCTTGCATCGAAGCAGTATGGTGGTAGACGTGATCGTATACCCGTATTCTCACAGCCCCTCTCTCCAGTGCTGCCCTCCAAGGTTCACAGGTGGCTCCTCGCTCTGTTCAGTTGCCCAGGCACCATATAGTGCAGACTTCCAAATTATTTGCAGCCATGATGAGTTAGTGAGAGTGGAGACTCCCTCTCACAATAAAACCATCTTATATTTCTGTACTGCTTTGCCAGATCACCTCTGTGTAATTGTTTGGTCATAAGGTTGATAACCCCATGAAGTAGATTGTGCAGTTGGTAAAACTGAGGCAGCAGAAGATTGTGGCTAATTGCTGTCGGTGCCACCGGCCTCAGCTTTACCCATTATGTCGTGTTCCGTGTGCCGTTCTTAATTTCCGAGGGGTTAGACACCTGCCAGGTTTGAACTCTTAGCATGCTTGTCTTTTAGAGCTCGGCTATTGCTCACTTCCATTCTGGATGTATTCCTGTTGTATGCATTACTCTTTTTTTTTTTTTTCCATGTATAGTTTCTGGATCAAGCCATTTTGAAAATTTATGCATCCCTACCAAACAACCTCATTTGCCTTTTTCAAGAAAATAGTGAGATAATGAATTTACTGATTGAAAGGTAACAATTATATACTTTTTTTCATTGCACTGAATAAGTTATATGGAAACAAATGTTAGTGGTTTTTCTCACATAAATGTTTAAATGCTAAAATAGTGAGTCTGGTAAAATCTAAGTAATAATTTAAATTACACTGATTTAGAACTTTTACCCAAGGATCTGCCTCTTAGCTAAGATTTTTGCCAAGTTAATGAATAGCAGAAGCAGATTTGCCTGGATAGGATGGCAGTGGTAGAAGTGTTTATTTCCCTGTGTAAACTTACTTATTAAGGACTCTGTTCACTAGATTCTCAAAACTGGAAGAAATCATAAGAGTTATCTCCTCCAGTACCCTCCTCACTTTACATGAAAAAAATGAAAGGCTAGAGAAATTAACCTGTCCATCATGTCAAATAAATGACTAAATTAAGATAGGTGGCTGTTTTACCCACAAATAGGAAAAAATATATGCAAGTCATACATATAATAAGGAATTAATATCTGAATTTATATGTGCACAATTTCTACAACTCAACAACAATAAAAAACAGTCCAGGTAGAGAATGGGCAGAAGACTGAAACAGGCCTCTCTTTAACGAAGATACACAGTGGCTGGTAAACACATGAAGAGCTGCCAGGCCTCAGTAGTCACTGGGGAAACGACTGTCACGGTGAGGTACGCCTTCATACCCACTAAAACAAAGGGGGCCAGCCTGACAATGCAGAGCGTGTGTTCATGCCCCAGATCCCTATCCCTCTGGGACAGAGAGCTAGAAGAGAAGGGATTGCAGCATGCCCACAGCCCATTGGGTGGGTACTGTCTCCCTGCCCCAGTTCCCCTCCCAGCACCACCACCAGCACCCCATCTCTCTCTGGTGAGCATATGCAGTCTCTGATGACGTTTTTAAAAAAGGAAAATCCCATGTTTGCAAGAATGTAGAGAATTTGGTGTCCTTGTGCATTGCTGATAGGAACGCAAAATGATAAAACCACTGTGGGAAACAGTATGGCAGTCCATAGACCTTATGCTCCAACAGTTCCACTTCTGAGTAGAAGTTCTAGGTAAACTTGCCAAAGAATTGAAAATACTCAAATCAGTACTTATATACTACTTCATAGCAGCGTTGTTCAGAATAGACAAAAGGTGAAAACAACCTAAATGTCTATTAGCAAATGAACGGATAAACAAGATGTGTGTGTGCACACAGTGGAATATTATTGAGCCTTATGGAAGGAAATTCTGCCACATGCTGTAACATGGATCAGCCTTGAGAACACTGTAAGTAAAATAAGCCCGTCACAAAAGGACAAATACTGTATGTTTCTACCTTAATGAGCTACCTAAAACAGTCAAATTCATAAACACAGAGGAGAGGAGAGTTAATGTTTAACATGTTCAAAGTTTCCATTGGGAATGAGGAAAACATCCTAGAGTTGACTGGTGGTGATAGTTTCAGCATGAGTGTCCTTGAACCACAGAGCCAGACATTTAAAAATGGTACATCTTAGGGCCGGCAGGTGGCGTGGTGGTTAGGGATGCTTGACTCCCACATGGCCGATTGTGGTTCAGTCCCGGACCCCAGACCTGGTGACTTGCTTTCTCACTTTCCTCCTCTCTCTTTCTCTCTCTCTCACTCTCTTGCTGCCTGTCCCTCTCTAGTCAAGTTAAATAAATAAATAAAGTTAAATAAAATAATTATTTTTTTAAATGGTGAATCTTAATGTTAGATATATCTTACCACAATAAAAAAAATTTAATATGGGTTTTCTAGCTCTAGATAATAAGCGCTTTTCACTAGTTTAGACTGCTTTTCTACAGTGTCTAAATTAGGAGTGTCATAAAGTTGTAAACTAGCTACAAACTAGGATATATTAAGCATTCTTGCTTTTAGAAAATATTCTTCAGATTTTGGGAACCAGCAGTTAGCGTAATGGCTATGTCGCTGGACTCCCACGTAGTCGACCGCGGTTCGTGTCCCAGACCCGGTGGCTTAAAACTCACGCCGGGCACGTGTGCGTGCATGCCCAAGATCCCGAGAGGAGAATGGAGGAGAAGGGATTGCGGCGTGACCATCCCCCCGGGGGGTGATTTCTCGCTTTCTGTCTCTATGTCTCTCTCTGTCTGGCGAGCGCACGCGCCCTACAGTGAAAATCTCTCCGAAAAAAAAAAAAGAAAATATTCTTCAGATTTTAAAACTTACAGGCAAAATATGGTACTTCTCTAGGCTTCTTTTTATAAGGTAAGTGTGTCATATTAAGTCATGAATATTATTTTCCTCCTATTGGCAGTAGAGGGAAAAGTTTTAATTCTAGCCCTTTAAAAGTAAAAACGTTTTGGGGACCAGCAGGTGGCATAGTGGTTAAGGTGCTGGACACTCCCACATGGCCAACCATGGTTCAAGTCCCAGACCTGGTGGTTTGCTTACTTTCTCTCTCTCTCTCTCTCTTTCTCTCTCTCTCTCTCTCTCTTGTGTCACATCCTTCATCTCTAACAGTTCTACTCTCTCTCTCTCTGTGTGTGTGTGTGTGTGTGTCTGTGTGTCTGTGTCTGTGTCTATGGTCAAAGTAAAATAAATGAATGAATAAATAAAATTAAATAAATCATTCTTTTTTAAAAAGCAAAAATATTTTTTTCTTCCATTTATATTAAAGCTGGTGTCATCACAGTGAAGTTAAAAGATATCTAGAAGGTGAAAGAGATGCTATAAGGTAAGTAAAAGGTTGTCAAAGACGTGACTGGGGTGTGGGGTAGGACGGAAGCAGGATGCAAGTGTTGTACTCCTCCAAAACTGACTCCCCGAGCTTTTTGTAATTCCAGGAGGTGGGATGTCCTGCCTTCATACTCTCCTTTTAGTCTAATGATAAAGAGTTTGTGAAAGACGCCGGGCGCGTGTGCGTGCGAGCCCAAGATCCCGAGAGGAGAATGGAGGAGAAGGGATTGTGGTGTGACCATCCC